CCCGCGAGGTGGCCAAGGACCAGCGAGCGCGCGGGCGGGGTTCCTGGCCTGGAGGGGGCGCTCCGTGGGGCTCTAGGCAGGGTGCCTCCTGCCCAGCCCCTGCGCCCCCGCGCCGTCGCTGCTCAGCGCGGGCCTGGGAGCGCCCGGACCTGAGGCCGGGCCACCGGAGCCCGCAGCGCCGCGTCCTCCTCCTCTTCGGCCGCCGGGCGCAGTCAGGGAAGCATCTCCATCTCTATCTCCCGCCCTTTGTCTGAACGCGGCGCCAGGCTGGGGCCCCGGGGAGGGGGCGCCCCGGCTTCCCCGCCCGGCGCCCCTGGGAACCTCCTCCCGGGGCCGCACGGGCTGGAGGCGCGGGGAAGCGGTCGGAGTGGGGTCTGATGCCCACGTCGTCCGCAGCCCCGCGCGTCTCAGCGCAGCGTAGCGCCCCTACCCCGCGCTAGGACACCGGATCCCCGCGGCGGACACGGGGGTGCGGGGCTCTCAGGACCCCTCAGGGCTCGGCCCCTGCCTTCCGCGGCTTGCGCATGCGCCCCACGATCTCGGTGCAGGTGCAGTGGGGGCTCTCGCCGGGTCCTCCTGGTCCCCGCGAGGCCGACCTCACGACGCTGCGGGCCTGGGGCGGCAGGTGGAGGTGAGGAGGACAGGTAGTCCCAGACCCCGCCTCCAGCACTTGACGAACCCAAACCCTTGCAGTTCTGCCCTCCGTTCCCCGCGTCGGCCCGCATTCCCCGCTAGTGACCCGGCAGGGCAGCCTGGAGCTGAGTTCACCACACCCGCGCGGGTGGGGACAAGGCCTAGGGGACCAGGCCTGAGGATCCTTAGCCCGCGTTGGGGCCCAGAGAAGCGGCTACGGTCACCTAGAGGCCAGGAAGGGGACTACCCTCTGGCCGGCGTCGCGATAAGTAACCCAGGTGAAGTGGGCAGAGGGAGGACCCCGGACCCAGGAGCTGAACTGGTCCACAGCTCAGCACAAGGGCTGTGGGGGGAGGGGCAGCCAAGCTGGGAAGTCACCCCCACACCGTGTTTCCGAGATGCCAGGATTTGTCTGGGGTGCGGCTGTGACCTTCCAGGAGAGCAAAGTAGAATCACAGAAAATCTCAGAGGAATTGACAGATCCCTTCAGAAACCCCTCCATGCGCTGCCTGAGCACTGCCAGAGGCCCCTGTGGACCTTTGAGGGACCAGAGGGACAGTGGGACCAGGCTCTGAGGCCCTGAGGTTGGCCGGGGGATAGCAGAAGTTTCCCAGCTAAGTCAGCAGGCTGCAAGGGGTCCAGGCAGAATAAAACAGGAATGGGAAGGGGCTGGTATGCCTGGAAGGGTCAAAGGGCTTCAGAGGAAGGGCAGTCTGGGCTTTGAATGTGTGCCTTGAGCACCAGATCAGGGATCTGGGACTCTGTCATGGTCTGTGATGGGGGCCAGGAAAGGAGAGGACCAGGTCCAATGTCCAGGAGCTCCTGGGCAGTGTCCTGATCCCTGACCCCTGATCCCAGACTTGGGTGTGAAGGAGCCCCTAAGAGCAGAGTGGCCCAACCCCTACAAGGCCACAGCCTCTGCTGGTTACTACCCACCTCACCTCACCCCCAGACCCTGAGCCCTTCTCTGGCCCCCAACAACCAGGCCCCAGGATGGAGGGGGGCCTGGGCTCCCACTCAGCTTTACCTCGGTGGGACCCCTTGGTTCTGCCTCTGCAGAGCTCCCTCCCTCCGCGTGGCCTGACCTCATCCTTCAGCCCACACAAGTCCCTGAAAGCCCCTGGGGTCATGACGGCCTAGCTAGCCCAGTGCTCCAGCGCCCTGGTCCAGAGGGGCCTGGAGAGTGCCAGGCCGAGGTGGGGAGGAGCAGCCAGACTCATCTTGGAAGGGACAGGGCTGGACCCCCGGGATGGCCACTTGGAAGATCTTGGAGATGTCAGGGCCTGGCCTTTGACGCTCTCGGTGTGTGGGTGATCTGAAAGGGGAAGACCCCACAGGCAACAGGGCAGCCCCAGGCCCTGCTGCCCAGCCTCAGTTTCCTCCTCGGCTACGTGGGGGCGCCCCGCCCGCATCAAGGAGGCTGCGCCGGGAAGGGGGCCATCAGCCGGCGTCAGGAGCCCATTTTACAGAAGAGAAAACCGAGGTTCGGCGAGGTCAGAGCCGGTCAGTTCTCCCTTTGCCCGGGGCTCCACCCTCCCGCCGACACTCTCCTACTCGCGAAATCCCGCCCACTCCTCTGGGTTCCGCTACCCGTAGTCCCCTCCCCGGGGCTTCTCTGACCATCCCGAGATCCCCCGAGCACCGCCAGAGTCCGTCAGTCCCAGATGAGGTGAGGTGCGCGCGCAGCGGCGACACCCCCGCCCGGATTCCAGAGGCCGGACAAGGGAGGGCGCCCTGGGCCTCCGTTGCTCCGTGCGGGGAGGGGGCGTCAAACACAGGACGGTTCATTAGCAGAACAGCCTCACACCCCAGGTGAAGAAGAGACCAGCGGGCCCACGCTGGGGCAGACCCACGGCGTCCCGTCTGAGGACTTGGAGGGTGGTAGCCCTTCCCTCTCCCCCACCCCAGGAAAACTGGGGAGCGAGCATGAAGCCTCGCCAGTGGTCACAAGTAGAGGGAGCCCAGGCAAGGGGACTGGGCAGGACGACAGAGGTGGGT